CTGAGGTGAGTGGATTGCCTGAGCCCGCGGATTCGAGACCCACCTGGGCAACTTGGCGAGACCTCATCTCTGCAATAAATCAAAAAATCAGCCGGGCATGGTAGCGCGTGCCTGCAATTCCGGCTACTTGGAAGGCTGAAGCGGAAGGATCGCTGGAGCCCAGCGGGTCAAGGTTGCAGTGGCTGGGAGTGGCCACTGCACTCCAGTCTGGGCGACAGAGTGAGACTCCAACTCAAAAAAAAAAAAAAAAAAGACCAGCCTGGGGCAGCATAGCAAGACCTCGTTTCTACAAAAAAAAAAAAAAGAGTAATTAATTTTTAAAAAGAAATTAGCTGGGTGTGGTGGTGCATACCTGTAGTTCTAGCTACCTGGGAGGCTGAGGCAGAAGGATCACCTGAGCCTGGGAGGTTCAGGCTGTGGTGATCCCTGATCCTGCTTCTTCACTCCAGTCTGGGAAACACAGTGAGGCTCCAACTACAAAAAAAAAACAAACAAAAAAAAAAAAAAAGAAAAGAAAACAAAAGATGCAAAATGTAAGATTGTAAAATGTATCATAATTTTTTTGTATAGCTAAGAAAGAAACAGATACCTGCTAATTAAACTCTAACACAAGTTTTTTTTCTTATAGTCAGTCTGAAAATGCTCGTTCAGACAACATTTTTTTTTAGACATATCACTCTTCTGCATACATAAAGAGGGAACCGTAGGGCCAGGTTATTCCTAAAACTTTTTTATATGCAGAGTCTGAGTCTCCTGAGTTTCTTTATAATCCGCAGGCAGCAATATCTATGCTTCTTCACATGATGCTGTTCTCTGTGCCATCAGGCACGATGGGTGTGTGTAGAATGTCAATGTCAAATCCTGGTGTGCCCTTTCTGGACATATTGTCAACAATGACCTGGGAGCCCACATGGGTGGTGCCAAGCGGGTACACATCTCAATTAAAATACCTGGTGAACAGCTACAATAGGCACGTACCAGCAATGGCTACATCTTCATGAATGTCACCAGGCCAGCAGCAACTGTAAGACGCATTCCAACTTGAGGAACATTTAAGTATAAAAGAATGAGCATCTCGGCCGGGCTCAGTGGCTCACACCTGTAATCCCGGAAATTTGGGAGACCAAGGTGGGAGGATTGCTTGAGTCTAGGAGTTTGATACCAGCCAAGGCAACACAGTGAGAGCTTGTTTCTACAAAAAAAAAAAAATCAAAAAAAGTAACCAGGCATGGCAATTCACGCCTGTAGTCCCAGCTATTTGGGAGGCTGAGGAGGAAGGATCGTCTAAGCCCAAAAGATTGAGGCTGTGGTGATTGTGCCACTGCATTCCAGCCTGAGTGATAGAGTGAGAGAAATGAAAGGAAGAAAGAAAGAAAAGGAAAAAAAAGAATGCATCTTAGAATCCATGAAATTGGTAGCAAAAGGTTTATACTTGTGTCTTTTTGGAGAGTGGAAACTTATCAAGCATTATTGAAAAACTTGACCTCATCCTATTAATGAGAAGGTACATGGTAAATGCTGGCCTTTTCCAAGAACTTGACAATTCCTCCAAGCAGGATATATTGGAGGGTCAGAGGAGACCAGAGGTGATAGTCAGCCTCAGGAGGGTGTTCCATGGTGTGTTTTATATTCACCCAAAGTGTCTTCCCCTTAAATAGGAGTCATTTATTTGTGTGATGGCAGTGTTATTCCCTGTTCAAGTACAAATACCCGTAAAAAGGTCATTCAGTGCTTCTCCTGCCTGGTTAATGATTTCTCCCTTCTGGAGTGAATATGGCCAGAGGTTTATTTAAAGGAGCCGACCTTTTAAAAAGAAAAATCTCTGCATGTTTCAACAGCATAAAACTTAGCTCCTAAAAGATCACATATTGTAAGATTCTATTTACGTGAAATGTCCAGAATAGGCAAATCTGTAGAGACAGAAAGTAGCATTTTGGTTGCCAGGGCCTGGAGGTGGGTGACAATGGAGAGTGACTGCTAGCAGTGACAGAGTTTCTTCTTGGAGAAACAAATCTATTCTAAAATAGAGTGTGGTGATGGTTGCGCAACCCTGTAAATATACTAAAAACATTGAATTGTACACTGTAGTCGGGTTGGTGGTGCGTGCTTGTAGTTCCAGCTATTTGGGAGGCTGAGGTGGGAGGATTGCTTGAATCCAGTAGTTCTGGGCTGTCCACTATGTAGATTGGGTGTTCACACTAAGTTTGGCATCAACATGGTGACCTCACAGGAGAGGGGACCACTGGGTTGCCTAAGGAGGGGTGAACCGGCCCAGGTCAGAATTCTACATTTTAAATGGGTGAATTGTGGGAAGGGTATTGCTTTTCGCACCAGCACGAAGCCAAAAGAATCCCAAGTGGAGACATCATAAGTTGAAGACCGTTTGTGCTTTGAAATAATGAAAGACAAAAATCAAAAAGATGGTAAAGGAAGAACCTTCTATTAGTCCTTATTTTATCAGCCTCTCATCTGACAATCAGAAGCATCAACACCAACTCCCACAAGTATAGAGTAATACCCACTGAGGCAGGAACACCTCCCCTCACACCCCTGTTCCCGGGGGCTGCTGCTTACCTGGGCTGCCCACTCTGGAATCTTGACTGCCATTGGCCGTTGGGTTCATAAAGGGCAGCTTTCTTTCTTTGACTTCTAGATCCTTTCTTTCTTTCGCTTCTAGACATATTTTAAAACGCAGAGCTTTTCGTAGACCCACAAAATAAGTTGAGATTGACTGCCTCCATACTCTGCCAAATAACAATATGAGTGAGCTTAAAGAGGTAACCCAATTAAAAGCTATGTGTACCAAACATATAAAAATATACAGAACAGTCTGGTGTGAACCTTTAATCCCTCCTTATCAAGGATTTCATTTGATTCTTTTTGTTTTGTTTTGTTTTGTTGTTTCAAGTTGGAGTCTCACTCTGTCGCCCAGCCTGAAGTGCAGTGGCACAATCACAGCTCACCACAGCCTCGGTCTTTTGGGCTCAGGTGATCCTTCTGTCTCAGCCACCCAAGTAGAGGGATTACGGACTACTACCACCACCTCCAGCTAATTTTTTGAGTTTTTGTAGAGACGAGATCTCGCTATGTTGCCTAAGCTGGTCTCGAACTCCTGGGATCAAGTGATTCTCCCACCACAGCCTCCCAAAGTGCTGGGATTACAGCGTGAGCCACTGAGCCTGGCCTCATTTGATTCTTAGCCAATTTCATGGAGGTCACTGTGTCTGTGTTGGCCTCTTAGGATCTTCCCTTCTTTTCTGAGTTATTTTCCATCAAGAATCTCCTCCTGGGCCCCAAGCTGTCCCTCATCCATGCTTGTTGCCATCAAAGTGGTTATTTCTTTGCATGAAGGCTTTCTGTTAATTTTCTCTCTCCATCTGCAGTTGCCCAAAGTGCTCCCTTTAAGAACAGAACCTCCGTCAACTGTGTTTCTGTCGTGGCCAGATATGTATCGTGTGGAGCAGAAGGCGCGTTTTCCCTCCGTCAACACACACGCTGCTAGTGCCTGCAGCGGCCACCTGTTACCCAGGAAATTCTCTCTCTGCCTTTCTCTCTCAGTTGAGCCGTTGCTGTGTTGAGCTGTCCTTGCAAGCTCTCAGAGAAGCAAGGAGGATGTTTGTAACATCTAGTTTTAGTATTATCTTAAAGAAAATCTCCTATCTTGCCCAGAAGTCATGGCTGATAAGAACACCCCAGTTTTGCCGATCAACCCTTCCCTGTGTGGGCTGGGCTTACCTTCTGTTTTTAGTACAAGCATATTTGCCCTCCTGGATCGGTAACCTCCTATCTTAACAGGACACACACACACACATACACACACACACACACACACACACACACACACACACACACACACTCTACTTCTGGAATTATTCCATTTAAAGAAAAAACTGAGGGGCCGTACATGGTGGTTCATGCCTAGCGCTTTGGGATGCTGAGGCAAGAGAATTACTTGAGCTCTGGAGTTCAAGACCAGTCTGGGCAACATAATGAGACCGCATCTCTACAAAATATCAAAAAGATTAGCCAAGTGTGATGGCGTGTTCCAATAATCCCAGCTACTTGGGGGGCTGAGGCAGAAGGATCACCAGAGCCCAGGACGGCATGGCTGCGGTGAGCAGTGATTATGCCACCGCACTCCAGACTGAGTGACAGAGTGAGAACATGACTGAAAAAAAAGAACAAGGAAAAGCTGAAGGGCCCTGGGAGGACCCACTTGGTCACTCAGCTCAGCTCTCTTAGCCCTGACCATGTATCTGAGCTATTTCCTTTTTTGATCAATTGATACTTGCTAATATAATGTTATAGACAAAGACACACACATAATTAATTCAAACAATAAATATTCTTGTTCCTCTCTGCCCTCATGATGGATAATTAAGAATTTGTACTTATTTTTTATGGGTAAAGATACATAAAGGACTATTATAAAAGTATCTTGCTTTCTAGTTCCAAGTGTCACTCACTGAACACTCCTTTCCTTTCAAAACATTTGGATAGCCTGGCTAGTTCACACTACGTGATATTTTCAGTTGCCTGCCACTTTAACAAAATGAAAGGAATTCAAGTCAGTTATTTTCTATAAATGCATTTTTCATAAACTAGGAAGGAATCCCCAGCTCTCAAAAAATCCCAGATGTTTGCACATTTTATCTAAAACAGTTGCACAATGATAAAACCATTTTTGTCACTCATTTTGTCAGATCAAATGACTTCTTTATTGTTGCTGGTGATTGAACTAGAGCAGCCTTGGCAACACCATTATTGACAAGATCTCTCATAAACACCAGTCCAGGAAAGATGAGTTGGAGTCTCACTCCATCTCCCCAGTGGCACAGTCATGGCCATCCCAGCGTCAACCTGCTGGGCTCCAACGATCCCTCCGTCTCAGCCCTCAAAGTAGTCAGAACTACACACCCGGCTAATTTTTTTATTTTTCTTGTACAGACATGGTCTCGCCAAAGTTGCCCGGGCTGGTCTCAAACCCGTGGGCTCAGGCAATCCACTTGCCTCGGCCTTCCAGTGCTGGGATTACAGGCTGAGCCACCAAGCCCGACCAAAGTGCTGAATTCTGAAGGACAGGCTTGCTCTGTGTTTATCTCCACCAGTATCTTCCATCTGCAGTTAAGCAAGGGAAAGGGCAGGGAGGCATTTGCTAAGTAGGGGGAGTATGTGGGGTATACGAACTTAGCAGAGAGGCTTGGGGAAGTCCTTAAACCCATGACAGCAGCGAGAGGGTATTGTGAAAGAAGCAATGAGGCCTCCAGATCGAATACTGGAAAATTCCAGCATTTAAAGACTGTGCTGTAGCCGGGCTTGGTGGCTCAGCCTGTAATCCCGCGCCTTTGGGAGGCTGAGGTGAGTGGATTGCCTGAGCCCATGGGTTCAAGACCCGCCTGGGCAACTTGGCGAGACCTCATCTCTACAATAAATCAAAAAATCAGCCAGGCATGGTAGCGCGTGCCTGTAGTTTCAGCTACTCGGAAGGCTGAGGCAGAAGGATTGCTGAAGCCCAGTGGTTCGAGGCTGCAGTGACTGAGAGCGGCCACTGCACTCTAGTCTGGGTGAGACCCCAATTAAAAAAAAAAGAGAAAGAAAAAGAAAAAAAATTCTGTGCTGTGAAGGAGAAGCCAGCAAAGAAGCCTGAGGAGGAATAGCTGAAGAAACAGGAGGGAGCATGGGGGAATGTGGGGATGGAAAGTCAGGCAGGAGAACGTCTGGAGTGGCTGGAGTGTGGAAATAGATGATCCACTGTAAAAGAGTGGTAGAATCTAAAGTCCTCTGGAAGCTTGAGAGAACTCAAGTTCAGGTGGTTTGGGGGTTTTTTTCTTATTTTTCTTTTTTTGAGTTGGAGTGCACTCTTGTCATCCTGGAGACTGGAGTGCAGTGGCATGCTCATGGCCACTGCAGACTCGACCTGCTGTGCTTAGGCAATCTTTCTGCCTCAGCCATCCAAGTAGCTGGAACGACAGACACACACCACCACACCTGGCTAGTTTTTGTGATTTATTGTAGAGACGAGGTCTACCAAGTTGCCCAGGCTGGTCTCAAACCCCTGGGCTCAGGCAATCCTCTCGCCTTGGCCTCCCAAAGTGCTGGGATCGCAGTCTTAGCCACTGCACCCGGACTTTCATTCTTTTTTTCTGAGTCAGAGTCTCACTCTGTCACCCAGGCTGGAGTGCAGTGGCACAATCACAGCTCACCACAGCCTCGATCTCCTGGGCTCTGGTGATCCTTCCTGCATCACCCTCCAAAGTAGCTGGGACAACAGGTGCACACCACCATGTTCGGTTACTTTTTTTCCTTCTTTCTTTGTTGGTAGAGATGAGGTCTTGCTATGCAGGTTGGTCTCAAACTGCTGAACCCAAGTAATCCTCCCACCTCAGCCTCCCAAAGTGATGGAATTACAGGTGTGAGCCACCATACCCAGCCTCAGATGGTTTTAAATGCTCTGAGTGGTTCAGCAAAGTTTAGTTGACAAGCAAAATCCTGACTGCATGAGTCCAAAAATTAAGCAAAATGTCTAATGTCCTGTAGGATACTTCATTCCTGGAAGGAAGAAGAATGAAAGAAATTATGTAGAACTTGTAACATGAGGGATTTTGCAATGTATATGGTAAATTTCAGTAAGTAGATCAAAGTACAGGTTTTTGTTCAAGTGGGTGGGTTTGTTTACTGTGAAATCTGATAAAATATATGTACACTCTAAGTACAACTCTATTTGAATCATAAATAAGGGAGGTACCAATCAAAAAACGAGGATGTTATGTTAGTTCCATTTACGTGGGTTTTTTAAAATTATGTATATATTGCTATTGTATTACCTTTTTCTAAAAGGAATGAAAAGAAAAATGTTTTTCACATGACGTGACAAGAAAGGAACTCAGGTTTCTGTAGTTTCTGCTCAACATGTATAACATTTTTTTTGCTAATGAGAAATCTCCAAAACAGAGAGGTAAAAAATGATCCCAGGTCACACAGTGAGTCTGTGTGGGGAGACCAGGAACAGGTCTTCCATATTATGTTGTTTCTTCTTCCACCATTCCTCAGTACAGCAAAGTAACCAATCCCAGTAACTCTGAAATATACGTCTCACCTTATTCCCCGACTGCTTCTTCGTGAAAAGGTCAGAGCTGGCCACCAAAGGACCATTATTTATCTGCTGTATTTATTTATTTGAGTCAATATCTCACTCTGTTGCCAAGGCTGGAGTACATTGGCATGATCACAGCTCACTGCATCCGTGACCTCTTGGGCTCAGGTGATCTTTCCATCTGAGCCTCCCACATAGCTGGGACTACAGGCGTCCTGTTATGCCCGGCTAAATTTTTTGATTTTTATTTTTTGTAGAGAAGAGTTCTCCTCTGTTGCCCAAGTTGGTCTCAAATTCCTGAGCTCAAGCAATCCTCCCACCATGGCCTCCCAGAGGACTGGGATTACAGTCGTGAGCCACCATGTCCTGCGCTATCTGCATAATTTGATTGTTACATCTAAACATGATTCCAGGAGTTTGCTCCTCCTGGTGGCGGGACCACCATGAGTTCCCTGGCAGCTGTCCAAGCCTCCTCAGCTGTACGAATTATGGGAGGAATTGAGGACACGGTTGTCTTAATGTTATCGTTTTTTCTTCATTATTGGCACCTTAACACCGTGAGCCAGCAGACAGAATGTCAATTTAGTTCCCAAGGTCAGAGGTAGGAGTGGACCAGGGAAGAGAAGGGATGGAAGGAAAGTGGACTTCACA